CGAGCGCGTTCCCCTTTGTCCGGCAACGTTCCTCCAACATCGCAGCTCGCGCATCGCAGCTATTTCGAGAGAAGCGTACCAGGAGAGACGCGAACAAGGACGCGGCGCGCATCGTGGGTTGACGAGAAAGTCGTAGAAGAAAATTGATGCGAGAAAAACGAGCGTGGGTCGGCCCTGGACGAGGAGGAGCACCGGGTGGGTCAGACGATGAGACGCGACCGAGAAGAAGTCTGGGGAAGAGAGCGAGGCACCGTGCCGCGACCAAGGCACGCACGGGGGAGTTGGTCCAAGCTCACACACGTGTCGCGGGAACTCGCTTCTTTTGGCTTGTTCTCTCTCTTCTCTTCAGCCATCTGTTGCTGAAAAGCCTCAGTGTTTCACTCAAAGTGCTACGGTACCAATAAAGGCGACACGTAATCGTCTGGTCCCCAACTCAAGCCCTCGCAAAACAGCTCCACCGTCAATCTCCTCTCGACTTCACCTTTTTTTCAAAGCACGAATTCTCCATCTGCACCACGTAGTAAGCGTTAGCATCTGCCCACTGCCGCAAAGTCAAATCGTGGGCACTCACCGACCTCCGTCAAGATATCCTGCCTCACGAACAACGTCTCCGGGTCCGCCTCCTGACGATAGCAGTGCAAGCTCTCGAACCTCAACGAGACAAGATTAGTAGCAAGCTGAACGTATTGGATGAGCGACGAAACGAGCGGGTGCTGGACCACGAAGTCGGGGAGGGAGGGCGAAGCCCACGAGCCTTCGTGCGCTTCCTCAGAGAGCCAGTCCCAAAGGACGAGGTGAGTGAGGTTGGGGAATGCAGTGATGAACGCTGTAATGGCGCGGAGCGATCCCTATCAGACATGGAGAAACGCGGTCAGTACCTGCAAGCGCAGCCCCCAGCTCAGATCGCCACGTCGAATCTCTCACCTCGGAGAGCGGCGCACGCCCGATATCAACGAGCGACCCAATAGTCATGTTCACCACCTTGATCGACTCAAAAGCCTGATCTCTCCACACTGAAAAGTCGTGGGCTTCTGCGCCGCCCCAGCCCGCCCTAGGCTCCACGAACCACCTGAAGTCCTCTAGGATCAACATGCTAAGAGTTGACGAGCTGAGCGCTTGCAGAAGGTGGAGGAAAGCACATGGGCCAGCTTCAGTATCGGTAAAGAGATCAAAGCCCGAAAGGGTGAGGCTGGTAAGATTGAGCGAGCTGGGAGAGCGAGTGAGCAACACCTGCAGCGGTACCTCAGTTCAGGACGCGCTCGCAACATTCCGATGGGACTCACGTTCTTCAGTTGATCAGCCAGCTCCAATGGAAGCTCTGAGTCTGTGGTCTTCAGCTCAAGAGTTCGGGCTGAGAGGAATCCTTGCAAGGCCGCTGTCGTCGCTTCTTTATCCCAGCTAACGTCTTTGATCGAGAGCGACTTCACGCGTGGCACAAGGTCTGTGAGGGCGTCGGAAAGAGGAGGCATTCCAAGAGTCAGTGAGCTAAGAGAGCCAACCCTGTCTTTGAAGCTGAAGGAAGCTCTTCGAAGAAGGTGTGTCGTCCGGAGAGACTGAGGTGACGAAGCTGGGCGACGCTCACTTGCTCCAAAGTGCGGGTGAGAAAAGTTGGGAAAACATTTGGCTCCAGAATTAAGCTTGTCAAGTTGAGGTTCGGGAAAAAAAAGATGACTTTTCAAACGGGCTCCACAGTTCTCGGAGACCAAGACGGCGGATGAGCTTCTCGTTCTAAGGGTTCTGTACGAGCGCGTTCAGGAGCTTCGTATAAGTGTACTTGTCCTGGATGTAGATGTTCTCCCAGAACAAAGCGTTTGTGATCTTGTGGATCCTCTTGCATGTATGAAGCTCCAACTCTACAAAAGCCGAGCGTTACTTTGGTACTCATCGACCGGCCCAAAAACCTGTTGCTCACGGACGCCGTTTCCGGGTCCGCATTGCCCGGATGTTATTGCAAGCTCTCAAGCCAGGAGCAAGCTGTTTTACTAGTGTACTGGAGATACTGAATGAGCAATGAGATGAGCGGGTCCTGGATGACGAGCTCCGAAAGCGAGAGCAACGCCCACGACCTTTTGTACTCTTTTTCCCATAGACAGTCCTACAGTTTGAAGTGAGGTGAGGCCACGGAAGATGGACCCAAAGCCAGTCGTCGCACAAGAGAATGCATTTGTGGAATAGGAAACAGCTCTCCGGAGCGTCACGTTTCCCGCGATTGCACGACAAGGGCCACGTATGTCAACTCACCTTAGCATGCCGCACACGGTCAGCTCCGTTGTCCGCCAAGTCTTCAGTGAGCAGATACAAAAAGCAAACGCTCTTGCAAAGCGGTTCCTTTTCCACTGGAAATTTGTGCTCGTGTGCACCGGTTAGCTCTTCGTTGTTGAGAAACCAGAGAACGTCCTCCGAGACCAACGTGCGAAGAGTGCCTGGAGCAGGCGGAGGACGTCAACCGGTCCAAAGCTGGGACACGTGGAGGGGTCGATTCGGTAGAACTCGCTCTCACGCATTTATGATGCTGCACGAGGGCCAGGAGTACCGAAGAGCATGCGAAAGAGTAGCGGCACATCTGCGCGCCTGCTTGCTCAAGCCCCACTCTGCTCAAGTTGTGCGAAGCGGCCGGGGTCGTCGGCGGGCTACGATTCGTATCCATAGCACAGAAAGACTTTGATCGAGCACAGAAAAAAGATTGAGAGAGAATCGTTAAGCTGAGGTTCCCGACGGCGGAGCAGCTGAGCTCGGGCCACGCGAAACCGCGCCCTTCCCTCAAGCTCCGCCCAGCGGGCGCTCCTTGCTCTCTTTCTCCCGCGAAAGCGCGCGTTTTCGAACGTGCACTCTTCGCACCTCGATCCTCGCAGCCACTCGAGATAGAGTGGTCACCTCCGAAGCATACGCCTCCCAGCAGCGTGCTAGGTATCGCGAGCTTTCTTTTGATCGTAGACGAACTCGGAACCTTGTTTCGGCCAAACCACATTAAGCCGACGTAAAGTGGTGACCCCTCGAAAGGACTTTGCGTGACTAGTTGGGTTGGACATCCTCTCTGTAGGCACTTGAAGCTGGTGGAATGAGGAACAACAGATGCGAAGAGTTACAGCTTGGGAGGGTCGACGAGTTTTTCGGTCGAGGACGAGTCGCGGAAGGCGAGGGTCGAGGGGGCGACGCCAAAGTCTGGTGGGACCGAGAGGTGGAGTTCGCCTACTGCTATTACCTGTGGGAGTGAGGAGGGGGTTGTCAGCTGACGAGGCGGGCGAGTGGAGGGAGGGAGGAACGGACTCGGAGGAGCGCGAAGTGGTGTGCTGCACGGCCAGACGTCAGCATCCCAGAGCAGGCCCAAGAAATAGCTGGGAATGAGCACATACTGGCATGTAAGCAAGCGAACCACAACTGTCATCACAACGAGGGAGAGCATCCAGTTAGCGCCCGCCCCACCTTCAACCGCACGAGCTCAAGGCCGCCGGCACGCGCCACTCACCTCCCGAGCCCAACTGCTCTCAACCTGCACGACGACAGGTGTAACGGCTTCCAACTTGACGCTCAGCCCACTCGGGACGTTCCTCCCCTCCGCAAGCCGCTCCTTGAGGTCCTCGAAGCTCGCGACGGCGGCGGCGTGGGAGGTCTCGGACGCGAGGTTGCGCGAGCGCACGTCGTATGATAGCGACAGCGGTTCTGTCGGTGCGGATGAGGAGGATGGAAGGGACGAGAGGAGGAGGAGGAAGTGTTGGTGGAGGTGTCGAAGGTGCTGCAACGGCGTAGAAGGTCAGCTGAGCTTGGGGCGGTTGTTTGGCCGCAGAGGCGCGGACGCACCTTGCCGATCGTGCTCCCAGGGATCAGGTTGCTCGAGAAGGAGAGATGTTCATCTTCTGTCACTATTCCACCCGCACACGAGCTCGTCAGCCCGACTGTTGCGGACGCCCGTGTGCCGCCGGAGCAGCGAGAACGCACCGGTGGATGTCAACAAGTCGAGCGTCTGCTGGATGTAGTGCACCGCGATGTGGTACAGCGCCTCTGAGGCGTCGACTTCTGGGTTTGTTGATGTTTCGATAGACATAGTTGAACTTTTGCACGGATTCAAGCGAACGGGCTGGTGGATGGTCAGAGGTCAACGAGCGCGAGACGTGCGCGACGGCGTCATTTGACGCCTGGAGGCGTGCTCCGGTTACGTGGCCTGTCACTCTCCGATCGGCTCTGTTTGAGGTAATGATTGGAGCCAGTGAAGTTTGGCAATTTGTCTGCCTGCCTGATTCCTTTGACTCAAAGCTGGCAACAAGATGGTATGTGTGTCTATGCCAGGACGGACGCCCGTGTTATAATAACGTTGTGAACCCTCCGAAGGGTGGTTTTCAATTCCCACCGTCACGTAGTCGTAATTATGCTCTGAAAGCGCTATGCAGCAATCCATCACTGGCGTTGAATCTCGTTAATTATATGACGAGTGTGGTCACAGAAAAGATTGTCAACAGCGGTGGAGAAGGGCCAATCCACTAACAATTGGTCCCTAGGGGCTAAATTGAAGTCGAAGTACATGGAAAAGGACATCCTACCAAATCCTCCCTGCTGAATATTGAGAGCAACCGAGCACACTTGTTTCCTGTATCATGCCACACCGGTAGAGGAAGCGCGCAGGAGCAAAATGTTTTTTTTTTGTATCTAACAACTCTTATTGCAGGAGCTACTCGACTACAGCAAGAGAAGAAGGAGATAAAGGAAGAAATGCTTTACGCACACCAATAGAGTGATTGGTAGTGTGGGACTCAGCTTAAGCTGTTACCCACTAAAACTCCCGGAAGGTTTGATAAGGTCTTGGAATGCGGCAGAGATTGCTCTGAATTGGGCCCCCTCAACCCGCGAGCTTGGTGCCCAGGTAGGATTCGAACCCACGACAGTTGCTCAACCTACGAAACAACTGACACCTGTAGCTCACCGCTAAGCTACCCAGGCCGAAATTTTTTGGTGTACCACTGCCCTAATACTGGCTGGCATTTTTGTCGGACCGGTCTCTAATTTTCGGTCCCGTGGCCAAGTGGTAAGGTGTCAGTCTCCGATTATTTGGATAGCTGAAGATCGCGAGTTCGACCCTCGCCTGGATCGGTTCAGACTTTTTGCTTCTCCTTTTTGGTGCACCTTTTGCTACTTTTCTTGTCATTGACCACCCCGTTGGAGGTGGAAAGCACGCAAATGTGTTTGCAGCAGCCAGCTCCAAGGGGCGCGCTCTGGCCGGGCGACTCATGCGTGGCTGTGTCTCAAACAATCCGCCGTTCTCCTCCCCATGTCACATTCCTTACCATGTCTCTTGAAAAACGGCTATGTTCAAAAGTAGGGGAAGGCTCTCAACATCCTATCAGACTACTTTCCATGGACCCATCAGCCGCGTACCCTTTGCGCCTCTTGGCAGACCTTCTCTGCATCTTTCCATCTGCCTTTAACAAACCATTCAACACTTCTTCAGACATTGCCATCTCTTACAACCTAGTGAAAATTCGCTATCCAATCTGAGGGCTCAAAGGGAGGGATCCGGAGCCCAGTCGGCTTCCAACTCCTTTGCCACGTGTTGCAAAATCTAATTACTCGCAACCAACTCCGCAAATGTTGGTTGAGCTGATGCTTGAGGGGAGGAGAAGGGTGGAGGTGAACCAGAGAGGCGGTGAGCAAAAACTGAGCAACAAGGGGTGCGCACCCTTGCTACCTGAGTGCAGGGATCGGTACTGCTGCTTGACAAGCTCCCCAGTCGGTTCCCATGACTAGGAAACGTGTGATGGAACTTCCAAACGCTTGTAAAAGGTTGAGGAGCTAAGCTAGCCAGCTGTGCCTTGTTTCTGTTGACCTCGTTGTCCCGCTCTCCGGTGGTCTGAGCAGCGAGGTGAAGGTGGAGCGGGTGCGCGAGCCCCGTAAAAAGGGTTGAAGCTGTGTTGGAGGAAAAGACTGAGCTTATATGGAGCCGGGTGTTGTCCGCTCCTGCCCTGTGGGGTGTTGAACATGGGCTCCGATGAATTTGACGGCTAGGGCTGCGGGCTGTGAGGCTCAGCGGCCAACGACAATGAGTTGGCGGCTGGAGAGGTATCATCTGAGAGAAACATGTACTGCTACTGAATGAAATACACTCGAGACGAACAGAAATAAAAACTACACGTAAGCTAAACCACCACGAACGCCGTCTCCTCTCCACATATTCCTTCTTCCGGTCCATTCTTCTTCCCTATCGGTCTCAGCACCTGCCAAACCACCCAGAATCTCACAAAACCCCTCCACCTCAAGCGGTATATCCTGGCGGCGCCTCACCCCTCCCGTTGCCAGCCCTCAAATCCGGCGTGCTCGTCCTGTCTCCCTCAAGCCTCCCAGCCCTCAACAGCGAGCTTGGAGGACGGTTCCCCTCCTCTTCTTCGATCGTGCGAGCGACGGCGGCGGCAGCGAGGAGGTCGGAGGAGGGTTGGGTCGGGCGAGTGGAGGTTGGGATGGGAGGGGCGGTGGAGGTGCTGGTGGGAGTGGAGGTGGGAGGTGAAGGTGTTGGCTCGTAGAGTGCTGTTGAGGTAGAGAAATGTAGCGCAGGAGGAGGGAGCGGGTCAGCTTCGAGGGATAGCGAGCAGCAGTGTGGGGAACCTGAAGTGGGACGCACGCAAAGCCTCGACCTCGACGCGGGATGACGACGCCTCGCCGATCCTCGCCTTCATCTCCTCGACGATCTCGTAGAACTGGTACCCGCCCAACTCCTTGAAATACACTTTGAGCAGCTGCGGACCCTGGTACGTACGCCCCGCGCGCCGTGCGCCACAAGTCAGCTCGCGCCTTTCGCCACTCGGGAGGTGAGGAAGGAAGACGTACGAGGAAACCACCGCCAGGAGCGGGGAGGAGGAGGGATTCGTAGTAGGTTGCTGTGAACCAGGGCTGGACGTAGCGCCCGTCGGTGTAGTGCGACCACGGGACTGAGATGGAGTGGATCGTCTCGTTCCCCGTCGGCTCCCCTCCTGCTGCACCGCCGTCTCCCCTACTAGTCGTGCTACTACCAGCAGGATTGACGATGCTGGCGTTGCCGACAGAAAGGGACGAGCGAGCGGCGGGAGGAGCGGACGAGATGAAGATGAAGCGCTGGTTGGTGAGGTAGACGGTGCCCGTCGCCGTGCGCTCTTTCTTCTCGCTCTTTGTGGTCGTGCTGGATGGTTGAGGAGCAAGCGAGATGGCGATGGACGGGAGCGTGAGGAGCGTCTTCTCGGAGGGGAGGGGCAGCGGGAGGGACGTGGTCGGGTGCGTGAGCGTCCAATTGAGCGACGCCATCGTGCGAGAATTCCTGGGCAAGATGGTGCGAATCAGTGACAGATTTGACTATAGTGAAACTTGAAGCATACGGCGCTGTTTTGGAGGAAGCGCAGGAGATCAAGGGACGACGAGAGGATGGGAGGAGCACAAAGACCGCGAATCACGTGAGTCGTCAGGTGGGAGCCGAGACGTCCACGGTCTTTGCATCGCTGGGCTCGCATGGTGGAAGACCCTATTTTTTCTACAAAAAAAATCATGTACGTTCAAAGAACGTCTTGTGTGCGCAAATCTCAATTTGACCTCATGTTGGGCTTGACGTCAAGAAAAGAAGGAGCGCAACGTGTTCCAGGGCGTTACGAGACCAGGAGGGTAAGTTTGCGCTTTGAACTTGTTTCAAAAGTTTTGAACCAAGGAGCATCACCAGCCGTATCCTGCAGTGCTGCCCTGAAGAGAAACGGGCTTCAGTGAACAAGACCGCTTGCCTTGCACTGCCGGCCTGGACGCAGCAACCAGCTGGACCTCCCTACGCTTCGAAGTGAGGAAGGACAGAGCGACGTTGGGTACAAGGCTGATAGTGGAAACCTGTTCGAGTTTTCCGTCTTCCTGGGCTGGTCGACGTGTTCTCCGCCGTGGGCGACACGGATGGGGGGAAACCCCCAGAACGTGCACGAGCACGTGAACAAGAGTAAGGCACATTGGAAACCAAGAAGGAGCGTCTATCAAGCTTTGTTCTTGTGTACCGCACAAGAAAGCAGATCATGAAGTACAGCGCCGCTTGCTTTCCCTTCCTCTCGTGGCGCTGGTTTGACGAGACTCTCCGCGCCTCCTTACTCAGTGAGAGCGGCCTATTGTCTACATGGATTATCTTTAGAAGCTTGGGATTGGATGAACATAAGAGTATGTCCGTCGGTTATCTCGTTATCTGCCTTCTCTGCAGGTTCGCGAATGCAGCGGAGAAGGAGAAAATGAGCGCCACTCGCCGCCCTTTCTTTACACTACGCGATCATAAAACGCCTTGCTCCGCTCAGGTGTCTGACCTAGTTTCTGAGCAAAAAACCCTCCCACTTCATCCTGACTTGATGCTACCGAAGGTTGGCAGCGAGAAGGCAAGGAATCGGGGAAGTCCGTACTCAAGTGGCGACCTGAACGGTGCATCTCAGCTCGCTGCGCCCAGCCGACATTATCTCGCCGTTTAGAGAGGCAGAGAGGTGCAGCACAGCTTTTTCTCTAGCATGATGGAGGGCGAGCAAAGCCAGTTCGAGGGCGGGAGCCGAGCAAACGGCTCTCTGTCGCCCGTTTTCCGGGGGGACGCAAATCGGGCAAATGTGGATGCGAAAGACTGGTGAACTTCTTGATCACCTCCCTCTTCCCCAGCTGCGCCTAGATTCAGGGTAAAACTGACTAGTAGCTTCAATAGTGAGCTCATGAAAATACCAGTGTCGCTCGAGGGAAACACACTGCAAGACTTCACACCCGAAGCTTCGATATTGAGAAGAGCTGTAGGTTGCGGTACCAAGTCCTCCCTTGACAAATAGCTTGAGACTTTTCAAACAAGTCTTCGTTCTTTTTCCAAGAGCCCTCTGACAGCTTCTGAGGGTGAAAAAGCGTCCGCGCTGGACTGCTGCACAGCCTCACTGTGCGAGACGTGGCAGTTTCTTGAGTACAGCAGGCCATTTAGTGTCTGAGTAGCTACCGAGACTAAATCACTCGGTATTTGCAGCCCTTTGTATCGAATAGAAGCCATATCTCGAAAGTCTGGACCGGTTCACAGACGAGATCCACACGGTCGCTGTGGTCCTGCAGAGGAGGCCCAGCCGTTCGCCCCCAGTCGCGATCGCCCTTCGCGCGTCCCCTGTTGGCGCTCGTTCGCCTCCTCCCCTCACCTCGCCCACAACTTGCACCAAGTTATGGTCGCACCGCCATCGCCCAAGCACCACAAGACGCTCCGAAGCCAGGTCTCGTCGGGGAGCAAGCCTGCGCTGTTTGATGAGCTGCCGCCAAAGACGTTCCACCGTCGCGTGAGCGCACCTCCCCCCTCGCCGCCCGCCAAGTTCCAGAGGAAGAGGGCCGCGAGTATCGCCATCGGAGGAGCACCAAAGCGAGGAAGGAAGCAAGTCTCGAGTGCTTTCGTCGGCGACAGCGACGACGACGACGAGAACGTCCCGGCGAAGCGCCCCAGTGCAAGCACTCCTCCCGAGCCAGCACCATCGTCCGCGCTCGCATCGTCCTCCGAGCTCCGCGAGATCAAGCAAGAAGACACTCGATCCTTCATCTCCTCCCAGCAGTCACTCCAGCTCGCCATCAACGCCGCGCTGCTCTCGCCCGAAGACAAGGCCGACACCGACTGGCGCCCGTTCGACGACGCCGTGCTCTTCCACCTCGCCGTCGAGGAGAAGACGATGCCGCTCAACAAGCTGTACCACGCGTGCGAGAGGTGGAGTAGGGTGCTCAGAACTCCATTAGAGTACCTCGAAAGGCTCAAACTGGTGCGTCTCTCTTTTGTTTACCTTTCTCTCCTCCGTGGGAAGTTGACTGATCAGGCGCCCCTGCTCGCCTCGGCGGTGCAGTTGAGCGACGACAGGAGCAAGGTCGACGACGCGCTGTTGAACGGTGTCAAGGCTCTCATCATTTGTATGTCTCCTCAAGTTTTAACGGGTTTCTTCCTTCCCTGACCTCGCGACTCCGGCAGACGACAACACTATCTACCGCGCGGGCCTCACCTCGGACCTCCACTCCCTCTCGTCCACCTGGACCCAGTTCGAAGACTCGATACTGCGCTCCATCACCTCCTCCACAAAAATTCTCACCGAAATTGGGTGGGAAGCTGCGATCAAGGTCCT